GACCACATCTTTGGATCCGATGGTGCTTTCCCTCCCAGGTAGAATGAGAGGCTCCCTCGTCTTGCCACTGTGCATTGCAACATGTCCTCCCTCAGAGCTGCCCGTCTCACGCATCGCAATAAAAAATGTTCCACGGTTTCTCTCGCTCGGCCGCAAGGACAAAGGTCTGACTCGACCGCTCCGATTCGGCTTGGAAAGCCGTTCAGCCTCGCCATTCCAGTTCGGAGTTGGGCCAAGATACAGGCCTTTTTTCGTTTCAACTTGTCGTAGAGATCGCGAGTGTGCTTGCCAGGGAGTTGGGCATGCAGGAGAGTCAATGTCGGCCTGTCGGATTTGTCAGCTGAGCATTGGATCCTGCAATCCGTTGTTGTTCGTCTTTAGTCCTTCGCTTCTTGCTCTTCCGCTATCACCGCTCAAAACAGATGAATTCCTCCAACGTCACGAATCCATGATACGGCTTTAGACGGCGGGTCTGAGTGGCATTGATTGGCGGGAAGATTGAACAAGTGGATGACTTGAAGACGGACGACAACGGACTGCAAGTTGGTCCAGCTATGGGTTAGAGCACACGGTTGATCACTGTAAGGGTCCCAGGAGTATATTGCAACTAACTGGTGACGACTCTACGAGTTTGCCTCGAATGGAGAAAGAAAAAGAAAAGAGAGAACTAGATGACAGGAAGAGAGGGCAGCTCTTATATGCTCCGGAACACACAGACACTGCCTGCTTCAGGATGACGTTATCATGATACCACGGCCGAGGGTTGCCGAGGCCATCATGGGCTCAGCCCATCACAATCACTGGCGCAGTCAAAGTCATGTAACAGATTTGGGTTGGAGATGTGGTTGAAGTCTGAAGCATAAAGCATAAAACAACGTGGGCGACACAAATCAGTGCTGAGCCAGTCGTCAAGGAAGCTAAGGTTAGGGCTGCAACAGATAGAGGGCGGTCCCACACTGCCATGCACCGCAGGCTTCGTTCCGTCCAACTGTGTATGAGTACAATATGTACTTCGAAACCCAATACAAAACGCGCGCGGCCCGCAGAAAGAAATGGCGAAGTAGAAGCCCAGAAGCTGCTTAGGGGTACAGTGGGGGTCCGAAAGTCTGGTTCCAAGCTGCGCACCTCAACCCACTCTATTTATCTCAGCACTTAACAAAGGATATCGCAGGAACTACAATCTGAGGAGGAATCTGATTATATTTGCTAGAAGCCTGGGTTCTGAGCTTCAGTACCGTGTATACCACACTCGAGCCTTTTTGACAACAGCTAGCCTTCTTGGCATACTGTGAATCAGGCCGTCAAAATAAGCCTGCGGCACAGCACCCATGCCTCCTTCAAAGCACACGGGTGTACTTTCTGATATCGAGTTGGTTTTGCTTGAGTGTCCAGAGGTCTGGGAAGTTTTTACGCAAATACCGCTTCATCCAAACACAGACATGCTTAATTGGGTTTAAATCGGGACTGTGAGAGGGCCATTCGATCCAAGAGATAGCCCGAGAGCAGAGCCATTCCTCCGTCGACTTGCGGACATGATTTTTCGCATTGTCTTGCTGAAATGCCGTGTTTCGTCGTAATGTGAGGAAGGCCCTCTTTGAGAGCATCTTAGTAGGATTTAGCCGTATATCCTTGGTTCTTTGCAGTCTTATCGCGAACCATCATAATGAGGTCGCAATTCCTCCCCCTCCAGATCATTCCCCATACCACAATCGTAATATTTGCCTTCACATGGTTCCGGAGGTTAACGAATCGAGGGTCGAACTTCTCAGAACGGAAACTGAATACCCAGGCAGTCGGATTTGAGGTGCTGTTTTGGCAGAAACACTCATCTGAGGACATGGTCTATTATAGTTAGATATACTGGAGTGGTTGGAAGGGACCCATCTGCATCCTTTATGGCACGCTAATAGCCACAGGCCGCTCTGCAACAGGAAAAGAACCTTCATGCTCTCGCATGACGTTTGGGTATGGCCAGCTTCTTTAGGCGTCGAGAAAATGATGATCACGACACAAATTGGCTGCATACGGACACTGATGGCCTTTGAGTCTTCTAGGTTTCAGGCTCGTCTTTAGGTTATCAACAGTTGAAGACAAAGAAAGCAGCTATTTACAGGAAGATATTCCAGGCCCTGAGTGTCAGAAATCGAGACGCTTCTCTGACGAAGGGTTGGTCATTGTCTACCTTTGAGAAGTCGTCCAGGCGCAATGCGCTGAACCCTTGTTTTCCCCTCATGGCCTTTAGTCCGCTCCTTGTTTATTCGTTTCACTTAAACCCCAATCTGTCAGTTCTCCTCTTTCCGCTCGACATCTCTTCATACTCTAGCAGTCTACCATACGGAGTACTTTAGCGTCAGTCTCCATTCCCCGACAGTGATGACGACGGGTAGTCCCACTTTGGTGACGTCGATCGCGGGGAAGTTTGGAACACTTTGTGACAAGGCCACTTGTTGAAGTCCACAATGACATCAATGAACTTTCACTCAGGTGAGCAGGAGCTCCTTGTTCTCATCTGTTCACTCTACCATCACCACCATCTTCGGCCCCAGTTCACCACCAGAAAGCCACCACAATGTCGTCCGGAGGTCATTCCAACGTGGGCTTCCCCAGTCTCTACGAGTCGCAGAACCAGAAACATTACAAGCAGTCCGAAGTGGAGGAGTTGCAAAAGCACACCGGGGAGAACCTCAAGGGATTCTTGCCCAGTCAGTCGCCGCACCAGCCCCCTTCCACTTCAAGGTGTAGCACTAATACCGGTTTTCTCACCAGAGGACCAGGAGGCCGAAGTTAACAGGCTACGATCCCAGGATGTGCTGTTCGCCCAGAAATGCCCATAACGAGTTTCGCGAACTGACATGGCTGGTTACGGACGGTGCGACAGGTCCAGAGAAGACAAGCCGAGAACCTGAAGAATGATCCCACTTTCGCCGTACGTCCAAACAGCTCCTTTTCCCTCTTTACCTCCGTTTCCACCTCCGCACACCCCTTCTTACCACTCAACTCTCCCCCTCCCACTCGACTGCAGTTGCAAACTTCCAACACACAGGCTAACCAACCACGACATGGACCCAACAGGCCACACTGCACGGAAACAAACCGCACAAGGGCGCGATCATCGACAAGGAGATCCAGCAAGAGGAGGCGGAGCAGTTGCGGAAGAAAGGGGATGCCATGACAGGAAAGTCGATGTAATCTAGGTTGACTTGAGTTCAATTGTTCACCATGTCCCTCACGCCCAGATGCAGTTACACTCTGTTCCGGTGGCAATCATCGCCGTATGCTTCTCTAGACCAAGATGAATATGACTTATGTACTTTGCTCTGTTGGTCTAGCGAAGCACATAGCCATGATCGACACCGCCTCGGAGTGCAACTGCATCTAGGCGTGAGGGACATGGTGAGATCTGACGGCCGTTATCTGGGCTACTTCCCTGCAAGTATTTAGGCGCTCGTTCTGTTGGCAACATCACAGTCTCTGTCTCGGCATAGCCGCCCAAAGAACGACTGGCAAATTTGGATCGATGTGTTTCGTCCAACTTTGTTCGTCCGACGACAAAGGGAAGGAGGGAAAAGAGGAGGGAAGAAAACTGAAAAGGGAATGGAAGCCAAGAATGGGAAAGAAGGAAACAGGAAAAATAATGGAAAAGGAGAAGGGAGAAAGAAAGGAAAGGGACTTGGGAGAGGGGCCTTAGTGCGCTCTTCAACCTTTGCAGTTCTGTCCATTTGCGCACAAGCACTGAGGGTAAAGCATGTGGAAAATCTTATCTGAAGTTCTACAGTCTCAGGAATCTTGGCGAGTTCTTGATTTGTTTTCCTATTCCTCCACCGGGGTTACAAATGTGAAAGACGAGGGTGTGTCCCAGGGTGTGTGCCAGGGTACGGATATCAAAGATGCCTGCATTACAAATCCTACGATGGCTTCCACACCTGCACTGCACCTTGCACTGCACTGCAATGGCTACTGGCATCCCTATGTCGGGACCGACATCCTCTAGAGGGCTCTCCATCGCTGAGCTGGTCTATCTAGCTACTTCACGACCCAAACGGATTAGGGCCGAAGCCATAGTGCCGACCATGTCTCCCAGCCGCGCCGTGCTGGGCGAGAACTACACGCCGGCATAGTCCTCGACGGCCTCGAACCGCCACTAACATGCCCTGATCCACCAGTCTTGCTGCCAGTTGATCACAATGCTGCAAAGGACGAAGTGCCTTGTAAAACCCGTGTTGCCTCCCCTAACGGACACGTACTCACTCTCTCTCCTGCTCTTATAGTCAGTCGGCCCGCAATGCTAGCTTTCGCTCCGTGTCATCATTATCGCCGTCGTTTGTCCCTCTCCCCGCTGCCGCCAGAGCCGCTCTTAGAACCGGGTAGGCCTGGGGTGCCCTGTCTCTTCTTCAGAACGTCGAAAAAGCCGAATGTTCTCTTACCTAGTATCCCAGTATCTTGCGACTTTGTTGTAGTGGTTGATTGCGGTGATTGTCGTGATCGTTCGGGCGGGGCGGTGCGGGATTCTCGGGCACTTGATTCTGTACGTCAAGACCTCGAAACATCTGCGATTCGACTCCCACGCGACCGCGTAAAGCCTGCGCGGCACTGCAACCCCTTGTAATTGAAAGAATTGATTGAAAAAAACCTGTCTCCCAATCTTTGCGATGCCCGGCCGCCTGCGTGGGTGCCCCCCGATGTTTGTTCACTGGGAAGGGAATATATACATCCGTACAAATACGACTGCCGCAATAGAACAAACGCTACAGGAAGCCGATTCTTGACTACTTGCGTAAAGTCTTCAAAACCGGCGCCTTTCGAAAGCTCTGAGAAAACCTTATCTAACTACGCCGACTGCACGCCCGCGCACTTTGCTGCGTGGCCGCGGTGGGTGTGGAAAGTAGGGCGATTCGAGGTGCTGCGGACATCCCGAAAAACTCTCACCAGCGCACGGACCAACAGGTCACCTGACTCCCACCCACAGTTGCCCAGGCGACCACGCCCTAGTGCCCCTGAGCCCCTGAACCCCTGAGCCCTCGAGCCCTTGCATGGGACAGGATGACCGCCCCCACCCCTCCAACTGAAGGG